TCTCTCTCTCTCTCTCTCTCTCTCTCTCTCTCTCTTGCTCTCTCTCTCTCAAAATTCAATTCAATGTGGCTTTATTGGCATGAAAGTTTAAGAAACAAAGTTGCCAAAGCATCAAAAAATAAACACATAGTAACATAAACAAACAATAACATTAATACAACATCATGATTGATTATCTTATTGATTATTAATTCTATATACAGTGAGGGCCATAAGTATTTGGACTGTGACACAATTTTTCTAATTTTGCCTCTTTACACGACTCCAATGGATTTCAAACTAATCAGTCAACATGTGGTTGAAGTGAAGACTTTCAGCTTTAATTCAATGGATAAAACAAAAAAATCACAATAACCGTTTAGGAATTACAGCCATTTTTACACAGTCCTCCGCATTTTCAGAGGCTCAAAAGTAATTGGACAAACTAACATAATTGTAAATATAATCATTATTTTTAATACTTGGAGGAAAATCCTTTGCAGTCAATGACTGCCTGAAGTCTATCACACATAGACATCACCAAATGCTGAGTTTCCTCCCTTCAGATGCTTTAACCAGACCTTTTACTGCAGCCTCCTTCAGCTGCTGCTTGTTTGTGGGTCTTTCTGCCTTCAGTTTTATCTTCAGTAAGTGAAAAGCTGCTCACTTGGGTTGAGATCAGGTGACTGACTTGGCCGTTGAAGAATATTCCATTCCTTTGCCATAAGAAGCTCTTGGGTTGTGTTCACAGTATGTTTTTGGTCATAATCCATCTGCACTGTGAGGCGCCATCCAATCAGTTTTGTAGCATTAGTCTGAATCTGAGCAGATAGTTTAGCCCAAAACACCTCAGAACTCATCCTGCTGCTTATCATATCAGCTGTGACATCACCAATGAACACCAGTGACCCAGTTCCATTGGCAGCCATACATGCCCATCCATAGCACTGCCTCCACCATGTTAGACAGATGATGTGGTTTGTTTCAGGCCATGAGCCCTTCCTTTCCTTCTCCACACGTTTCTCTTCCCATCATTCTGGTACAAGTTCATCTTGGTTTCATCTGTCCAAAGAATCTTGTTCCCAAACTGGTCAGTCTTTGTCAGAGGTTTCCTGTTAAAGTCTAATCAGACCTTCCTGTTCTTCAGTGTTACCAGAGGTTTGCACCTTGTTGTAAACCCTCTGTGCTTAGATTCATGAAGGTGTCTCTTGATTGTAGACTTTAACAATGACACGCCTACCTCCTCCAGAGTGTTCTTGACTTCAGTAGATGTTATGAAGGGTTTTTCTTCACCACGGTACCAATTTCTTAAACCTAACAATGGCCTCCTTCACTTGCATTGACACCTTTTTAGTCCGCATGCTGAGAGTTCCATGGACCAGCTACCAACTGCAAATATAACATTTTGAATCCTATTATCTGCATCATTTGTGATGCAATAGTGATAGAACAGGCCACACCTGGCCATGAAACCGTTTGTCAGACAATTGTCCAATTACTTTTGAGCCTCTGAAAATGTGGGTGGCTGTGTAAAAATGGCTGTAATTCCTAAACGGTTATTGTGATTTTTTGTTTTATCCATTGAATTAAAGCTGAAAGTCTGCACTTCAACCACATGTTGACTGATTAGTTTGAAATCCATTGGAGTTGTGTAAATAAGCCTCACAGCTGAAGACCTCCTTGTCGTGTTCTGGGTCTGTTGGGTGCAGGTGAACGACCGGCTGGACAGGTACTGCTGCGGTTTCACTCCCGATCCAGCAGAGCTCTGTGTGGAGAACCTGCTCCACACCAGGTGTGGCCGCACCCAGGACCTGCTGCTGGTCCACATCCTGGTATGTGTCTCACAAACACCACTGATGTTTTCTCTCCCTGTGCCACTATGATGTGTGTCCTGAAACATGACACGGTTTTCTCTTCATTCTCAGTAATGAATTATTTCTCAGTCAGAAGGATAAGTTCACCGCTCTTTGCTCTGATTGATGCGTTGGTACAAAATACAAAAACATCATTTATGTTTCCTTCTCCCGCCTCGCCAAATGGTTGTGTGATTTCAGAGCGGTTTTCTGTTCCTTACCCGTCGTGTCTGAAGGCTTGAAGAGAATGAAATCCAGCGCGGCTGCCCTGTTGGTTTCCCGCCGCTGCCATTCTTCCATGGCAACGCAGCAGAACGCACACAACAGTAGCATCTATTAAACTGATGAATATGTTTCTCTCAGCTACAGCCTACGAGTCTGGCAGATGTGTTTGCGTGGAGGAGCTTGTTAAGGCACATACGGTTTTGTATCGTTCGCTGCCATATGTAAAAATAGATGAAGCTGTTTGTGTGATGGTTGTTTTTGTCACAAGGTGTTTCTTTCTCATTTTATGTTCAAACCACAGGAGAGCAGACGTTTTCACTCGTCATAGCCTATAGTCTACATGCACATAATATTCTGCTTTTTGCTCTCATTCTGAAAAAAGACAATAGGGCCTCTCTCAAGAACCACTCGTACGAAGCAATTCGTTCTCAACCCTCTGAACCTGCCGGCGGGATGGAAAAGTGTTTCCTTTAAACAATAGACAAAACGACAGCTTTTATCGCAACCAGAAGCTGTAAAAACTGTCACTATCGTCAGATTGTCATCTATTTCTGTTACGAACAGCTTCCGTCAGAGAGAGCAACCGGAACTAAGCTTAAAATGATTGTGATATTACATTTTAGTATACATGTCTCATTTAAAATTTCAGCCCAAATGAACCGTTTACTAATTTACTATCAAAGAAATTCCTGTTTTTCTTTTTTATGATTTATGGCATTGTAACTGTCATACTGCGCTAAAGACATGTTTGAGTTCTCCCTACTTCTAGCCTTGGTTGTGCTGTTTCCACAGAGGTGCAGGACTTTTGTATCACAGTGAAAATCAAGGCCACAGAGTGAAAAATGCCCCAAATCAGCCTCATTCACCAGTTTTCTGACATTTTGAAATTCCTCTCAGTACGAACACAATGTACTCGTCATGTGCAATACTTCTGCTGCTATCCAAGTTGTTCACTGATGGATTGTATATTTCATTACGATGTTGCATTAGAGACTTTATTTGAGGCAACAAGATGCAAACACAACATTGACGAACGACCAGTTATGAAGTTGATGTGGGAAACATGTAACGGACAGTGAGGGCTGGGCTTCACCTTACTGTAGCTGGTACGCTGCTATGGATGCTCTGCTCAGTTAAGGAGTGTTGGTGTTTATTAATCAGCTGTTACAACTGCAGTGCAGGAAAGTTCAAACACAAAACACACGAAGTGCAGCTCGCCATAACGATCTATTTTCTGTTCATGTGTTTTTGTCACAGGAGTCACATGACTCTGTTTAGGGATGGGCTGCGGCTACCTCGCTGGCCCACAATTCTCCACTAAAAGATACACCATCCCCAACTTGTAGTTCAGCCGCACATTCATTCGGCAGTTAACGGTTGACTGAACATTCATCACGAGTCGCTGAATGCCGTTCAAAGTAAACGGTGAAAGTTGTAGGAAAGTAAAATGTCCTCTGAATGAGACGCTTGGATTTAATGTGATTCGTTTGTTGTGAGGTTGGACTGAAACACAAAGATATACTTCCAAATGTAGTTTATCCTGTTTAGCCTGTTGAACGCGGTGTTCATTTGACCTCCTTTAAATATGTTTTATGTTGCTTTTCTAACTGTATGTTCTGTTTATTCATGTGCACAAACCCATAATCAGGGAGCAGAGTTATTTTCTTTTGTGCGCACTAATCATCATTTTATTTCTTCATTACTTAAAAGAACTATACTATATTATTTCACTTTCATGTGCTCTATCAACAATGTTTATTTATTGAAATATTTATGTGGTTCACTTTATTCCACACGTCGCCCGTAACGAGGAAAAAATATTCTCTTTATTCTTTAGAAACAGCTGAAACTCCCCCTTCAACCACCTTTCTGAACAGTGCTGATGTGTCACCTGTGTTTCCTCCTGACAGTCTGTGTGTGTGTGTGTGTGTGTGTGTGTGTGTGTGTGTGTGTGTGTGTGT